AGGCATCTGGGTCTGTGGTCCTAGTTAGTTCCTCAGGAGGCTGCAGGAGGAGGATTTCTTGTGTCAACAAGTTTTAAGACCAGCCTGGGTAATGCAGTGAGATTCTACGTTTCCATCTCAACAAAGAGATAAAGGACCAGGAGTCTAGCTCAATGATATGGTACTTGTCTAGCCCTGGGGTAAGACCTGTGTAAAATCTGAAGCCATCTGAAAAGATAAAGCATACAGACACGTATAATGGTTGTATAATAAAACCCAAACACCTCGACATGAAGCTACTGAAACCACTTTAAAAAAAAAAAAATTGGACATATACTGCTGTTCCCTTTCACCAAAAACAGGCTCGCCAAGTCAAAAGGGAATTTGAGTTTGAGATAGAATATTCTTTAGGGGGAAATAAAAAAAAGACAGGTGATTTATTCAGAAACCACAGGTGGTCGAGACTTTCATTTCACATCACATTTGACGTCGGAACAAGAATCTCGACAAGAGAACTAGCAGGTAACCAGACAGAAAGCCAGCGCCCCCCCATGCCCACCACTGAGCGGCTTTGCGGCTCCCTGCTTTCTCTTTGCAGTCCCCTGCATCCCCTCCTGATGCTGTATCTATTCATATTGATCGCCAAGAGAGCACATCCCAAACAGCTCCTTGCATCCTCCAATAAGCCCATCTGTATCAGAACTGTCATGAAAGACCAGTGAGAAACTTTGAGGCCATTCAGAAACAGCAACAACAAAATCCAATCAAAACCAATGACAAGGAGGCCGAGGGGAAGTCCGATCGCCAGTAGGAATACAGCTCAGGATGGTTTGCCTTGCGTAACAGGATCAGAATCTCACTTGAATTTTCAGAGATGATATGGAAAGGCAATTTGGCTGTTCATGACTTGACCACATTATGACAGCTTTCTTGAAGGAGCTAACAGAATAGGTCTTTCTCACAGACCTTACAACAACCTGGGCCTGATATTCTAGACTAGAAATTTAACAACATTTGATGAACATTTATCCGCATGGCGCTTAAGACAGCTCATCCGTATGCATTGGGTAAATCCAGTAAGACCATCACAAATACAAATGCACTCTTAAAATTCATACTGGTTAAAGAGGTTTGAGAATCTCTGTAAGTTATTTTATTTAGTTTGGTGATATTTTATGCGACAGGCTTCTGTCTGTACCTTTAACTCAGAATCTTAGGGACCATTACTCAGTTTTCCATGGATTCTAATCTATTCAGGCAATACAAAATATACACGACCCAAAGTCTTTCTTCTCCATTTAAGAATGGAATATGACTGTCACACACACAAATAGGCAATGAAATATGCCTGTGTTCTTAAATTGAACTTCACAATATAAAGACTCTGAAACATTCTGTTTTCAAAGACACTGAATAGGAAAAAAATGGAGAATGCATTTCCTTACTGAAATAAAAGAACCTATTGTGTGAAAAGGATAATAGTCTGGTATCCAAAAAAAGAAAACATATTCATGTCGAATTACAATACTATAAATACACTCAATCATTTTGATAAATGAGGAAAAAAATATCTTAATCAGTTTCAGAGCTGAAATCAGGACTTTCCTCTTTCTGGTTATACATTGTTAAATAGCATTTTTGTTCTAAAATTTCTAGACAAAAATAAAAATCCTAAAGAGTCAACAGTCACCAAGAATTTTCCTTCAGCATATTTACTACTTATTCATCCATATCAAGGCTACCATTCAGTGAATCATCATAAATTGAGTATCTATTACATGTGAAATATCAGATATATGTTTGTATAAATATAGATATCAATACCAAATATAGATATAGATATATACACACACACATATATATACATATACATATATATATACATATATATATATATACACCACCAGAAAACTAGAAGTGGTGCTGTGGCTTGTGTGGTAGAGTGCTAGCCTTGAGCTGAAGAGCTGAGGGACAGCACCCAGGCCCAGTTAAGAGGTCAAGCCCCACAACTGACCAAAACAAACAAAAACCAAAAAGCATGTATTATATGAGAAAAGTATTATGGATAAATGAACAATTCACCAACCACCCTGCCTTGGAAAATTAACAAAAAAAGCATCTAATAAATGCTACATCGTGAATCCATTCTTGTGAGAGAAAAATGATTAACCTGAGTTTTCCCTGGAATGTAAAATTCCAAAAGGGAGAAGAGTTTTCCGAGTAAAAACAAGAACATTGTGTCCTTTGGGGCCTCAGAAACACAAGTGCAGAGAATGGCAGACAGGAACGTGGAATCGGTAGCAGGACGGGGTATAAGAGGAAACTGCAGTGGTAGTTTGATGCAGAATCATGTTTTAGGGGTTTGTTTTTGGTGTTTTTACTTTATTTCATTTAAGGAGCCACATGTGGTGGGAGGTAGCAGGATGAACTCCAGACACTCCGAAATGTGGACGTCATACGGATGCTGTGTCAAGATCATGAGTGGTTCAAAGCAAGAAGTACCCCAGTTAAGATTCAAACCTAGAAATCAGTTACATGGACAGTAATAGAGAGTACAAGTCCTGCAGGGCATCGGAGCTCAGGCCTATAATCCCAGGTACTTAGAAGACAGACATTGAGGGAATAGAGGGCCAACACCACCTGAGCAGAGTTTACTGGACTTGATCTCTAACTATGGGTGTATGCAGCAGTGTAAACTGAGTTCCCAGTTACGGGGATGCACAATGGCTGGGCAGGGTGGCCCAAGGCTGTTCATAACCCCCCCCCACCAGGCAGTGACACAGAAATGCACAAACAGGAGGAGCAGTTGGAGCCGGCCTAAGCCTGAAGTGAAATCCCACCTGGCAAATGACCAATGGCGAGAGGGCTCCCGTGGTAGAGTAGGCGTAGCCAGCACACAGTCCTGAGTGCAATCTCCAAGTCTTAATAAAATGAACAACCATGGCAGCGAGCATCGGCAGGAAACAGGAGTGAATCCTGTGTATGGAGATGCCAATAAGTTCAAGAGGGGCAGGTCTTCACCGTTATTTAGGTTCTCTGTCTACTCCTTTGTTCTGTGGCTCGACAAGACATTCCTCTCGAATACGCTTTAATGTTCTCGTCCTTCATAGACTTTCCCAGCTTCCAGTGTGGCTAAAATCATTTCCCCTTTATAGATTTTCATTCTGGTTGTGACCACTGAGATTCTACCCTGCGGATCTGGACTGGAAGTCTCACTGGGAGCCACTCTCTGCCCAGAGCTCCCTGAGAGAAAGCAATGGACAATCTTAAGCGGGGAGGGAAAGCATCACAGTAATGATTGTTTGGTTTGTTTTTTTTTTTTTTACAGTGGAGGGACTGGCTCCCTTTCCCTGTTCACCTGTTTTCCCTTTTCTTCTCCTTTTGGAAAAGAAGGCAAAAACACTAATCATCTGACGAACACAAACTTGCAGTGGAAAGAATGAGGATTGATAAAATACATGACTTAATTTACCAAGGAACGACAAGGAGACTATGAAACCATACTCCTGGTTTCTTGGGAGAGCGGTACATAAGGTTTATCATCTTGGGATCCAGCGCCAGACTGCTCGGGTACAGCCTGGTTCTCCCATTTACTGCTATGTTCTGGAATGAGTTAGTTAATCTCTCTGAGTTTCCACTTCTTTGCATAGAAAGCAGATGACAGGTTAAGATGACATTCTCGAGAAGGGTTTACTGGGTAAGACGTGCATGCATGTCGGCAAAAATATTCATGGTGGGGAAACTGCACTGCTCCAAGAAATTGTGGGTTGTGAAGCTTAATTTTCTTTACTTCCCACTGGGTTTGAACTCACTACCTCTTGCTTGGCAGGCAGGTACTCTACCACTTGAGCCATATCTCTAACCCCTCTTCTTTTATTCGTATTTCACACAAGGTCTCATACTATTTTTTCCCCAGACCCACTCTTGGACTACGATTCCTCTTAGGTGTATCTCTCCTACTGTTGGGATTACAGTGTGCACTGATGGCCGCATCTAGTTCTTTTGAAGGTCGATCTTGCTGAGTTTGCGTGGGTTGCACTCAAACCACAATCCTCCTCTTTCTTGCCTTCCAAGTAGTTGGGATTGTAGGCATGAGCCACTGCACCTTGCCTTTTAAAATGTTCGGCGGGAATATTTAAATCTAATTCGGAAGTCAAAGTGTCCTATCTATCACGTAGCTACTGGGAGGTCTTTAATTCTCTTTTGTTGATTTAACTCTTCAGCAAGTAATTTAATAACAAGAATAAGTGGATATATTTCAGCACTGGGAATATTTAGGGTATGTAATATTTTTCTGGAGGGGGAAAAAATAATAAGATTTGACAGAACCAGTGTTGCAGAATAGCATGCAACAGGGAATCAGTGGATTGTCGAACAACAGCCTAGCCTGGGATTGACTTAGACGCCACAATTAGTGCAGTCACATTAGGAAATCACAGTTACGATGACATACGATTTTGTACAAAACTCCAAGTGTGGAAAGGAACACGGAATGCAGTCTGGAAGCCAAGCCAAAGGAAAACAAACAAACAAACAACCAAAAACAACCAAAGGCACTGACTGACCGTGCTACCAATCATGACCTTAGGTCCGCTTCCACTCTTGGTCATAAACCTTTCAGTAGGAAGCGTATAGGGCACACTTCCACGCTGACTAATTTTAAAGATGTTCCTATGGCAAGTATTATATCTTCCATGGTTTACACTCTCATGGAGTCATGTCTCCAAAACAGGTTTGTTGGGTTTTTTTTTGAAGGAAAAAGAAAACAGAACTAAAATAAACATATATATATATATATATATATGTATATATATATATATATATGTATATAACATATATTTATTCCTTGTTGGAACCCATTTCCTTCCCTACACACTGAGGAACTCTCTAGATGCCACGAGTGAACTCTCGTCTGTGGCTAGTCACCCATAATCGCACGGGCAAAGCGTCAGGGGAGGAGGAGATGTAGTGGGAATGTGAGGGGCGAGGTAGGCCCAGTGGACACCCGGGAGGCAACCTACCATGCTACTGTGCTGAGGAGTGGGAGTTCGGGGGCCGCCCGTCTCGTGGGTCAGCAGAGGGACTGGCTGGAATTCCTCGGAGTGAGGCTGGGTGGGAAAACTCACATGTAAAGAAAGGTGAAAGGCTGGGGGCCCATCACTTTCCTCTTCCTCTACTTTCTGTCTGCTCGTCACCATGGCTACCTCTCCATCTGCTTCCCCATACGGAGAGGCTGGGCGCCTGGAAGACATCCTGGGAGGAACAAAAGAGGAGAAAATAATGAAACCTCCACATAAATCCTTAATGCCGTCATTGTGTAGTTAGGCCCCATTGTCACAGAAATGCCTTTTTTGTGCTCGCGGAGAGCAGGAAACTATCCAAATACCACCGCAAGGCACACACAATCAGAAACAATGGCCAAGCAGGTAGCAACGAACCCGGCTTGTTTGTTGTGAGAATAATACTCTAATATAGCACTCTCTTGTATCCTGGCTTCTTAAACAAGAGAATTCTCCTAAGAACGGTGGTGCATAATGAAAGAGCATTCCATTTTAAAGGAAAGGGGAGAGAGAAAAAAAAAATTACCCATCTAGTTTTACACTTTGATAGACCTCCTTGAAGACAGAAGCCTTGATGAATGGCAAATACGGTGGGCACTGTAAAAGCACAGGCAATAACTTACATTTCCTTCATCAAAATAAATGAACTAAATGACTGGCCTCAGCACAAGTTGGCATCTTGTGAACTGTCCTATCACTGGGAAATGTGGAAATGGTGGCTCATAGCGAACCTCAGGCCTACCTCACAGAAAAGTTTTGGGATTTGTTTTAAGAGGAAAAATGGAATGAGTGTGACCCTTACTGGTACTCTTAAAACAATTGCGATTTTTCTTTCTCTTACCTTCGTTATAACAGCCCATGAAATGCTCAGATTTAGTTACACAGTGACACTCCTTTACAACACTTTCAACGTAATGAAGCCATCCAAAGAAAGATGTTTGTTTGGATAAGCAAAGGCCTATATAAAAATGGGCTGAGATAACTGAGCAAGAATGAAGCATTTTCTTTTTATTTCACTGACTCAGATATTATCTGAGGTTAAAAAAAATGAATGGCAAGTATTTTTAGTTAAATAGAAACGTTCCTTCTCTCCTTTGTGAAGTTTTACATAGAAATGGAATCGAGTTGAAATATTTATTAAAAGAAAAGAAAACAACCTCTCTCGTAGCATTTACCGCTTGAGCTGACCTTGGAAACGCTGTATTTTTTGTTGTTGTTGTTTTTGTTCCATAAACAAAGAGAGTTTACAGAATCATCCATTCTTATTTGAGGCTACAGGCAGGAACTCTTCCTTCACATATACCAGACTGAAAGGCAAAATGTCTTTCCACGCAAATAATCCTAGATATTGTTGACTAATACCATTGTTCACGTGAGAAGTTTCAAAAGGAAATATTCCAAGACTGAAGGCAGCTGAGTAAGAAATAGTCGGACAGAAGGGAAAATGAGAGCTTTGGAAGGAAACAGACACATGTAAAGCACTGGCTTTCTGAAGAGAGAGTCTCTCTTTCTCTCTTCCCCTCCCTCTCTTACTCCCTCCCCTCTCCTCTCCTCTCCTCTCCTCCCCTCTTCTTCCCTCTCCTCCCTCTCCTCTCTTTTCTCTCCTCTCTCCTCTCCTCTCCTCTCCTCTTTTCTCCTCTCTTCCCTTCCTCTCCTTCCCCTCCTCCCTTTCCCTCCCCTCCCTTTCCTCCTCTCCTCTATTTCTTAAAATAAAAATTACCACTCCAAAATATGGAAAACATACTTTCTTCTAAGAGTTGACCTGTACACAGCCCCCCAGTAGAGAGAGGGCCCTGGTCATCAACGGGGATCAAATGTATCCACAAGTGTTTAGACAAAGGTTCCCAGTAGAGATGTCGATTGGATTAGCAAGGAGAAGAGAAGGGAATGAGCCCAGCTACCCACTGGCGCTGTCTTCAGATGCCAGGGCCTTGAGCGTTGAATTTCAAATACTTTTAACTTCTGAATCTGCTGCCAAGGTCGGCTCTAAGTGTCATCTAACTTACGAAGGACTGAGGAAAGGGTCTAAGGTGAACAGACTCCATGGTTTTGGCTCAAAGTTGAGCTTATACTTCCGAGTTTTCATCTCAATGGTTCTGGGATCCCAATCTGGGAATCCCCAAACATGAGCTGTTTACCTACTACTTTTCTGATGTCCTAGCTGGAAACTTGACTCCCATTGGAAAGAAAAGATACCCAAAACACACTTCAGATAGCTCAAGTCATAAGACCATTATTGGTTGGTTTCACCTGTAGCTTAAGGATAAGAAGATTATTCCTTTGTTATAATAAACCTGAATGTGTGTGGTTTGCGTGGGCCTGGCCATTCTTCCTGGAATTAATAAATTGGTACCCTGTGGTCTCGAATGTAATCCATCTCCCCTTGTCTGAAAACTGAGCTATGAACAACTGTCTCTGAGCCATCCAAGCAAAAAAGAGATCAGATAGCCTTTGCTAAGTCCATGTCCAGCTTACCGATAGCATCATTTCCGAGGGTATAGACGGGGACTTGCAGAAGAAGACATAACAGATCAGCCTCCGAGACTCCTCTCAAAATGACTGGCTGTCTCAATACATCAATTAATTCTAGATACAGCCGCATGAGCATTCTCAATATGTAATGTTTTACGGAGCAAAGAGCTTCAGGTCTAAAGCACACAACAACAACTAGCCCTGTCGCCAGACAGCCACTGGTGAAAAGCCATCACTACAAGTTCACTTCAACTCCATTCCCAAAGCCAACTTGGAAGGTTCTTAATGTGCTGGATTTGAACGTGGTGGAGATTCAGCTAAAGGATTGCTTGGAGATTCATTAAGTCACTAAACATCAGAATAACTGTGGTTATGTTCCCGTCGTAGGCTACCGAGTTAGTAAAAAAAGGGAAAAAAACCAATCACCCGCCACTTATCTCTGGAGTGCTCCATCCGCCCACCACACTGGAGCATGAACAGTTACTGAACCACGCTGCTGTGCAAATACTGATAGCATGGCGTGGAGATGTGGCTCCAGCACCAAGCTTGAGAGTGCTGAATCCCGGAGTTCAAGCCCCAGGTCTAACATATATATGTGTGCGTGTGCGTGTGCGCATGTGTGTGTGTGTTATATACATATGGATGGATGGATATGTGTATATATACATGTATGTGTATATACATGTAGATACAAATGCATGTTTGTAACATGTTTGTATGTATACATGTGTGTACATATAAAATACATCCGTTATATATAATACTGATAACAAAACTATATATAAAAGTATTAAATGGATGATAGATGGATAGATAGATGATAGATGGATGGATAGATAGATGGATGGATAGATAGATGGATAGATGGATGGATAGATAGATAGATAGATAGATAGATAGATAGATAGATAGATGGCTGGATAGATAGATAGATAGATAGATAGATAGATAGATAGATAGATAGATAGATAGATAGATAGATAGATAGATAGATGGATGGATGGATGGATGGATGGATGGATGGATGGATGGATGGATGGATGGATCACCAATAACATTCTTGAAGTGTTGTCCAGACCCTAAAGGCTTCCATCTCCCATCCTGGACAGGTGCACAGGCAGTGGGAAGACCTCTGAGGGTCCTCCACCTTGTCCCTTGGCAGTTGCGTTCCTGGTCTCGGGGCTCCTGCGGCTCTCGGGCAGTGGGAGGAGCCCCTTGGTACCATTCGAGGCTCGAGGCTGAGACATATTCTAATCGATTCATTCACAGATTCATTTTGTCATTCCTGGGTGAAATGCTAGACGCACCGATGAATAAAACTCAAACTCAAAAAGCTGGCACAAGACAGACAAATGTCATTCAAGGTGCCATTCTGCTGCCTCATGGAATGAAGACTAAGAACGGTGGTCTGCAACTCAAGGGTACGAGTGGCCAAGAACATGGTCTCGAAAGAACGGAGGTCCAGCTCCAACCTCGGTACACGTTTACTGACCCCCTATTCTGCACAAGATACTTGTTAAGGACTTTTTTTTCCCAACTGTCTGTTTCTCTGCTGTAAGGAGTTTATGAACTGACGGAGGCGATTTTACATAAAAAGAGAAATAATTGTGAAAGACGGCTGAGGCCAAATGACATGGTAGCAAAAGTCCCCAGGCCTTGGACAGGGACGCAGAGCCTTCTGCAATACTTCAGAGAGTGTCTGACCAGTTGGGATGTGAAGGGAAAAGAAGGACAAATGGAAATCTTGGGATTAAAAAAAAAAAAGAAGAAAAGAAAATCTCCTGTCGGAAGCAATGATAGAAACAGAGAGGCAGAAAATACATTTAGAAAGTGACGATAAATTTAGGGTCTGAGCTTACTTAGGAAGAAAGAGCAGATTGAGAAAGATGGATCCAGTCCATCCCTAGTCTATTGCACGTCTGCAGCTAGTGAGTTACATGAATGAAAGAGCGCAGGAGCCTCCTTTCTATGGGAACCAGCATGATTTAGGCAAGGAACTCCTCATTTTACTCTTCCCTGGAACCCTGCACCATCATGCTACTCCGGTCGAAACACGAGACAGTAATTTTAAGAGACACGGATAATTCTTCTGCCGTGGTGGGTGGCGCGCACCTGTAATGCCAGCACTTGGAAAGCCAGAGCAGTAAGATTGTGAGCTCTAGGCTTCAGCTAGGGCTACAGAGTGAGACCGTGTGCCAAAACACAAGTCGACTATTGGGGGGAGGAGAGGGGTCGTTTGCCATTCACGGAAAGGTTCTCAGGGGCCTGAGGATTCCACTGCTTGTGGAAAGCCTTCCATTTGTCTTGCACATACACGCTCGTGGGCAGGGCACGGGGTGACATCAGGGCACTACCCTGCTGGCCACACATGGTGGTTATCTGAAGGGGTTGAGGAAATATTGAACGGGACTGGTTCTGGAGGGTGTCAACACCGCCCGCCGCTCGCCACTGATTTCTGATGAGCCCTCCAAGCTGCCAATCACTGGAGGGATGACAAGCTTCCCCATCCCGCCTCCCCAGATCCTGGGCTCCCAAGGTGGGCACACCATCTGCCTTTCATGAGCAAATGGACTTTTCTGCAGGTTGCGACCAAGGGAAGGCTCTTGGACTATTCTACATCTTTTGCTGTGTTCAGCATAGTCATAAAAGATACCTTTTCTGACAAAAGTATCCTTCTCTCTCTTGAGAAAAGGAAGCATCAGGAAGATGTACTTCTGGCTT